TTCAGCTACCATAGGATATATTTTCTAATTACAATTGGGATACGTCTTTTGTGGTGCTAATATAGTGTACTTACAGTAAATCGTAGGATATCAGCAAAGTAGTAATGGAATCGACATTAGTGATATTAGAAAATCAACTGGATATTTAAGAATAACTGGGAAAATAAATCTATTTTAGAAAAATTCTTCGTCTTTGCGTGGTTTCTGAATATTCATTTGGTGAAGCCTGGCCTGACCTGCTTAATGATAAATCTTAAAATTTGATGCTTGTTTCTTAGAAGAATTGTAATTTATTTACTTAAATATTACTCACGCATAATTTTTTAAAAAACTGATATTATATCGCCATATTATTTGCAATAATGTTCAGAAAATTCGGCCAACTTAAATCAATGATTCTTATATATTTTAGTATTTTTATTAAAGTTTTTAAGAGCTAAATAGTAAAATAGAGGACCCAAATATAAATAGTGATAAGTGAAGTGGATAGATAAGCGGTGTAACAAAACAAAATAAATAAAAGAACGAATTATCAACATTTATCCAACTTTTAATGTGTATATTTATGATTTAAAAATGACCCAAATCTTCCTTATTTTATGTCAATAAGATTTTCATTATACTATGCCATAAACATTCCATTTTTATGTGACTAGCTTGATAAAACTTTATCCAAGAGAGTGATTTTAATCTATTTATTATATCCGTACTTTTAAAATCAGATTTTATATTGCATGATGACGTGTAATATACTAAATTAATTTTTTTATTTTACAAAAAAATTGTTTTATAAAGATATAAATTGTTATTAAAAATTTTGTCTTTTTTTTTGTAATATTTAATTAAAATAAGAATCAACTAAAAATGTTCAATTTCCCTCACAAAATTATATTCTTTTTTTTTTATTCAATGTTTTATTTTTATGAGCATTTGCAAAATATTGAATCTATAATTCTATAATCAAATTTATACAAGCAATAATAATTTATAATCCAGATAAATATCATTCTAATTAATCTTTTCACTATATTCCACACTTTATTGTGAAAGAATATACTCTATATCATCATTTTATTCATTTAATAAGTCTTTACGATTTGACTTTATTGCTCAATCACAAACTGATTTTGTTCATTTATAGTAAAAAAATTTTATAATTACTAATTTGTTATTTTTCACTTTCATTTTCAATTGAAGCTCCTATAAAAAATTAAAAATTTAAAAGTTTTAACAATTTTTTTTTAATTTAAAAGAAAGTTTTTATTAGAAATAACATACTATGTAAAATCAATAACATCAACTGAAATTTGATTTATACTAAAATATATTTTATAATGTGGCTTATAAAAAAATTCTTATGATGACGTCATTATACATACTGTGCGCGAAATAATTGCGGTACTGCGGTACTACGGCTAGATTTTGGAAGATCTTTTGTAAATGAATCATGTAATCGAGAAGTATTACAAGCTTGTGGATGAATAGATGATTGTTCATTTTCAACAGCTGGAAGGATGTGATTTGAATCCTGGTTATAGGGAACAAGAATATTATAGAATTAAATGAAAAATTTTCAGCTATATTATATAAAACGGAAATTTGGGTATAAAAATAAATGATTATACATATTTAAATCTAACGCTAATGCGAGTTCTGTTCTTCAAAGTTCAAAGTTAAAGATAATGATCTTTGTTTTTTATCAAAATATGATAATTGCGGATACTATTTCATCTTTTTGGCGAACATACAATCTATAATATAAATCACAGATGTAGCTGATCTTGACATGATATCTCAGTTGTTTCATGTAATATGTCGATATCTACTAATTTTTTCAATTAAATTGTTCATTTTATTAACATGAAAAAATTATAATATTATAAAAAACATTCTCGTTATTGAAAACACAGTATGATTTTATTAATGAAGTTCATCGTTTATTAATTTTTTTAGTTGTTGCTATGTCAATCTTACATTTCTGATACAACATCAATAACATTTCAGAAAATTGCAATTTACAACAACGTATATTTATTTAGTTTGGCTATACCTGTGATAATAAAAAAGTTTGACTTACATGGTTGGCCACATCAGTAAAAATTTATAGCCGATCATCAATTAATCCATGTGATATTGCCCACATACTATAATACCTATAATATTATTATTGTCTGGGCTATTAAAAAATAATCAATATCCGATATTAAATAATGTACAGTATATAGTTTATCCATTTAACTGATGCTATAAGCTATGTCACGGTCAAATAATATATTCCCAAGTATGTAACACTTATTATGATACCTCTATTATCTGTAATGTATAAATCTGTGTCATTATATATAATTGCTGGAAAAGCTTATGCGGTGATAATTATATCGCTCAAAATTACTTGCAGCTAAATGTCCAAAGCAAAAATATAGTAAATATAGCAATATCTATCCTTTACCAATATTAATTTACTTTAAATTTTATTATTTTTGATTATGGTATTTTAGAAAAAACTTGATAATTTTTTTTTTAATTAACTGTTAAGATTCATATTACAGTACAAGTTTCAGATCAATTAGCTTATGAATCAATTGATGTGACAAATGTGACTCATCTTTATAAATATAAATCTACAATACTAATATGCTGATATGCTGATTTTTTACTGCAAAATATTATATAGGTTTACATTATATAAAGCTTATGTATAAGTGAATACATCAGTGCTACTGATTTATAGGGGGTAAATCATATTGTAACAAATGTGACTCATACATGATAATCTTTATTTTTTTTATGAGCTATCAAATGTTTTTACAAGTATATATACCCTCACTTCCTCAAGAAAAAATTCAAATTTCAAATATTATTTTTCAAACTTTCAAATATTATTTTTCAAATCTCAAATATTATTTTTCTCTCAAATATTAATCTTCTATATCAACTGAAAATGTCTTATCAATTGTGTGCAAATATTATCTCTACTGTTTTCAATGAAATACCAATCAACAAATGCTATAATCTTCCTCAACAAATTGAAACTCCTCAACAAATTGAAATTCTTCAACATCCATCATTATTTCAACATCTACCATTACTTCCATTACTTTTTTACATTCTTTTTATAATCCTTCTCATAAATACCAATCTCCTCAATCATATAATTGTTTTGTTTTTTATTTCATTGAAAACAGT